CGGAAATTTTGACAAATTCCAAAATGGCGGCGGAAAAATTGCGGGAAATCAGTTTGACGGCTGTTTACCGATGGATTTGCATGAAATTCGATATCCTGGCGGTTTTTGGCTGGATTAAAAGGAATCTTTCATTAGATTCTTGAAATATCAAATAGTTTCATGCTAACCCATCGGTAAAGAGCCGTCAAACTGATTTCCCGCAATTTTTCCGCCGCCATTTTGGAATTTGTCATAATTTCAGATATCCAATGAAAGATTCGTTCTTCTCGTGCCGAAATACCCCCGGATACCAAGTTTCATGCAAATCCAACGATATGCAGCCTAAATATCCACTTCCCGCTCTAGGCCGCCATTTTGACCGCCGCCATTTTGCAAAAGACTGACTTTTCTGGAAAACCAATGCCAGAATCGTTTTTCTCATCTCAAAAAACCCTAGAATTCCGAGTTTCACACCAATCCGTCAATAAACAACGGAGATGCCAAATTTCCGCAATTTTGAACTTTGACCGGCCGCCATTTTGTCAAAAATGAACATTTTGACCTGCGGTTTGCGCCATGAATTTCATTTTTTATTATCTTTCGAATGAGGTATCACAAAGGGGGGGTTGCCATTTGAAAAAAAAAGTTAGCCCCCGCCCCCCTTAAGGGGGGCCGCCCCCCCAAAATTTTGGGGGGACCAAAAAGTTGCTACTTTAGACCGAAGAACATTCCCAAAGTTTCAAACTTCTATCTCAATTTGGAAAAAAGTTACAGGTGTGGTCAGTGACTTTTGGATAACCCTGTATACAAAACTTGTGTGTGGCAGCACCATTCAATGGAAGGGTCACGGGTTTTTAGCAAGCTTTGGGGACCGGCTTTGGCATCATGTTTTAGAAAGTGGGCTTGCAAAATTTTAAAACGAGCAGTAGGTTTTTCAAGCTTTACTAATGGATTTCGATGCACTGTTTTATAGGCCACGTTATTCCATTTTGTATCATTAAATTAAGCCGTCCTGAAAACCATGGCAAAACTATGAATACCAGAACGGTCTCATTTTTCTGAGTGGAATCATCGAAGTATCTATGAAATCGGTTTATTATTTGCCCTCGCAAAAACTCTCCAGCAAAATGGTAAATTTTTCTCTCCATCGTGAAACGTTGGTTGTAACAGAAGCGATAGTAGGAGCTCATCAATCAACGTTGCGTTGCAGCGAAAAACGCGCATCGGTTTGAAATAAATGCACCGGCTTCGAAAGGGAGAATCGAGGTGAGCTATCTCTCTGAAAATAAAAGTGTTGGGACGGGCAGAATACAGAACAACAACTAAAGCGTGTTTTGTGGATAGTGCCAGTGCACAATGAAGAAAGTTGCGCTAAAAAATGAAGCTTGCTTCTGCGAGGGGCAGACAGGGAGGGTGAAACGCATTTGTCGAGTGTAAAATTAAAACCTGGTAAGCGACTTCAGATGTTGAGGAAATTTTGCAACTGTTTCTCTCCATTGCGGTGGAGCCCAATGATCTGGTAATAACAATGCTTGTCTTGAAAACAAAACGAATTTTGAGCAAAATATTCCAATTAAAATGTATATGAAGTGAAAGCATTTCGGTTGTTTTACCACCAGGAAACCGCGATCAATTTTAGCAACACCTGGTGGCGTTTACGACGTTTTGAAGTTTCATTCTTCATTCCACTGAGAGGATCCAGTTCATATTTCAAGAGAATTCAGATAACTACCGTTCTAGCTAAAATTTCGCTTGCCCTAAATTCAAAGACCGGATGCAACATAAAATCCTGTATTATTCTGAGCGTTCAACCCGCTTTGCGTAGTGGACGCTCTTTCCGGAGATTTTTTCGACTCTGGACTTTACATTGTGACATGCTACAATCGTAAGACTCCACTTCGCTAGAACTACTAATTTATGCGACGGGGAGAGATACTATTTTTTTCAAGTTTTGTTCCTTAATATTGTTTACGTCTCTTTTACTTTTGGTGCAATTAGTGCAGTTATCATACGCTTTTCCTTGGATATAATTTATTCTTTCTTTGGCAAACTCTTAAACTTAATAACGTTCTTAGGTCAAGTTCTCGTTAAAAATTGTTGCTCAAAGTTTTTTGTGTACAAAGTACCTATATTCATGGATAACATGAACCTTATACATAACTCCATGAAAGAATGTATGTCAAAACAGTTGATATTATTAGATCTAGGTTAGTTTTGTATCTTTCAGTGATTCACTCCGTTTTGTACTGTCGACAGGTAATGATGTTACCATATCTTTAATAATAAATCAATTACTTCCTAGAGATAGTAAATACACTGTTAAAAATCGATTATTTACTCTGAGTGGATAGTCGGAGTGAAAAAAAAAATCTGGCGCAAATTTCGCGCCGCACTCTGAGTGAATAGATCAGAGCGTAAATATCACCAACGACGGACGTGTTGTTGAGCTCCCTGAAGTAGCGTGAATGGACCACTAGACAAGGTACGAATTTAAGCAATCTGATACGTGTTTCTTAACCAGAATTTCACGTAGAACACGATTCACACTACGAAAATTACCGAAATCAACTTCTAACGANTTTGCCTGTCAGATTTTCACTCCCGCCAGAGCGCGAAATTCGCGCCGGATCCATGCACTCAGAGTAACAGGTGGTCAAGATAGCAACTGAGTAAGCGTGAATTTCGCGCCGGGATTTTTAACAGTGCATATAGTTTCGTGCGGTGAACGATCTCCAACGCTCGCACGTCGGAACCAACCCCTTGTTTTATTTACCCATTCATTCATAATTTTTCTCTCTTGGCTCTTCTACGGGTGGTGGCATCCACCCGTGAAACACGCTTTTCGGCGTTGTTTTAAAAAAGATTACTTTTAATCAGTTAAGGGGACATTTTACGGTGTACTCTGTAACTTGATTCAATCTTTCATTTCTTCCCGGGCGATCTCGCGCCTCTCATCGCGGTAACGAGGCAATTTAGCAGGGCGTTTGATTTGATAAGAAAGGGCAGGGTGCCCGAGGCGTAGCGTCGAGGTGCGAGCAAACCAGAAAAACAAACAGAAACTTCCCTCAACGCCCGAAGTTGGTGACTAACGGCCCAGCCACCCTCTTGTCGCCCGAGTGAAGCCCATAAATTTAGCCTCAAAAGTGTATTTGGGCCATAAAATTATGTGCTTCATCTCGAGCAAAGCCGTTTGAATGTAAATGACACGCACAGCGCACACGGGTTCGACGTGGATTTGTCGGCTGGGGAGCAGGAGTCAGGAGTGAAACGAAATTTTAAAAGAAAATCGTCTTCATTTTAACCGTTTAAAAGCTGTCCCTCCGTTTATTCGGCGCTCAGCTGATATCGAGATCATTTCGCACTCACTTTGCCACTAGATTTCTAGAATAATGTTTGAGTGTTGCAGAGGTTAAGTGGCGCGAAACGGCCTTTTCCAGAAAGGCAGAAAAATCCTTTGCGCTTTCAAGAGAGATTCGCCGATGATACCATCAATTGCCAGTGCGCAAAACTAATTACATTCCCTAAATATTTTGTTTTCTCTATTCTATTTGCTGTCATAAAAGGACGGCGTATTTTTACATCTGACTACCGCTTAACTTTTTTTATTTTACTTAAAGTTTGCGCAAATTCATCTTCTTTGACGCTACGTAATCTTCCTTATGTTAATGGTAGAGCGCGCGCTTCTCTTTAAAACATTAGTCGATTATTTAAAAAGCTTCCTCCCTAATGCTCGAATTACATAGTGGCGTGGCGTGTTTTGCTATACATCGATTGATCTGCTACTTGAACCTATGGAAAAGGATCGATAAACAGGGTATTCGCAACGAACACCTCAATAATCGATTCTTTGCCATAGCTTCAAATAGGGGAATATCGATAATCGATCATTCACGCCACGCCACTGCGAATTAATAATATTAGAACATAAAGTCTGCTGCGAACAAACTGTTTTAAGCACTTGAAGTAGAAAGGTAAAAAAGCCCATTCGGACAACAAACTGCCTTCCTGCCATTCGGTTCTCGTATGTATGTGGTAAATTATGAAATTATTGTTTCCTCCAACCACATAACTCTCCTTCCCTTATAACGAAGTTAATCCATCTTTCTTACTCTCACCAGACCCCTAAAATATATCGACGATGTAGTCGGCAATCACATAACTCCGTTTGCGACGTCGCAGACTCCCTGTCATACTTTATTTTTTAAACGGAAAACTACTCAACTTCAATCCTTTAAAACTGCCGTGATTTTTCCTCTCTGTGCGAAGGAAATTCAGCAAAAACTTCATGGAATGATGCCAATTTGTTTTCCTTTAAAAAAAGTAACATAGAGGCGGAAATATTCAGACACCGCAAACGAGATGTGTGACTGCCGACTTACACCGTCGATATGTGGAGTCTGGAGGACAAGGCGCATAAGTGCAGTTTTTGCAATTTCGAGAAATACGTGTCTGCAGTTTTAAAATTAAATGGATCCTTATGACGGAAAGAAAGTTCAAACTGACTCTCCGATAATTAAATATTGGAATTATTTGGTAGCGAATTTTTCATAGAACATTCATTAGGGCTAGTTTTACTTTCTATTATTAATATCTCAATTTTTTCAAAAACTGCACTTATGCGCCTTGTCATCCAAGCCCCTCATAATATGTTGTCACTCTAACTCCCAGAGTTGTGAAATAGGTATTTTTTAAAAAAAATTTGGCAGATGTGCTTTCGCACGGTACCTATCACGCACATATCAATAAAAATTTCTCGAAAAGTACATATTGACGTCTAAAATTGGATTTTAGAAAGAGATGCAGACAGATGATCGTCGAAAGAAACCTGGTGTCACTCTAGTTATCATGCCAGGGAATGTCATGTCTTCCCATCGGAACATTTGTAATACCCGTTGAGTTTCAAAACGCACGACTTAAAGGTTCCGATTTATCTCGGTGTAATCTCGGGAATATTCATATTTACCCTCTGTGCGCTAAGTAGAAGCGAATTAAATGTTAATTCCGTTTTCTTTTTCCCGCAGGTTCATTCTACGTCGGCGGCGGAAGCGGGTCTCAAGGAGCCCCTAATTCACTGGGGGGCTTCCCGACGTCTTCAGCACCCGGGGGCCGTTTGGACCCCTACTTCGACCCATTAACGCCACACAACGTCACCGCCTTAATGGGCCAGTCCGCCTTCCTCAGTTGCAGAGTTCGGAATCTCGGCAACAAAACGGTAAGTGTATTTTCACTGTCTCCCACCCCGCTTCTCTCTCCTCCCCTCTGCCTCCCCTCTCCCTTGGCTACACCCTGTGCTACGTGGACGTATTTCTGTCAAACGGAACTATGTGCATTAAGACATGAGCCCTGAGACTCATAAGAATGTATGTGTAACAGGGCTCTCTTCATAATGCACATAGTCCTGTTTGGCAGAAATACGTCCAATGGAGCATTCGCACTGCCACCTCATCTTGCTAAACTACTACATCGTAATTGACTTGCTAAAATTTAATACAAATGTATCAATATTTTTAAAAATGCTCCAACAATATCTTGAAAAATCTTTTTCATACTATTATCCATCTTATCATAATAGGAGCGTCATTTCTCATTGTTTTTAACAATATTTTTAAATTATTTCAAAATTACTTGTGGTTTTTCTGGGTAATGACTTAAGTTAATTTTTTTACCCTTCCCTTTCAGTCTCTAAATTACGTTTTCACTCCATCGTGCAACCCTCTTGAGCGCACAGAGGCGAAAAGGCCCTTGGGGCAATGAAAAAAAACCGCGAGATGAGTGCCAGTAAAACATTTTGCCTCCCTCTCTAATGTCATGTTCAAACAACGAAAATTAAAATTAAAAATAAAGCCATTAACTTGAGGGCATTTCCGGCATAAAGTTAAACGACGATTCTAGGGCCCAAATAAAATGCAAAGCAGGTGTAGGGATGATGGGGGTTGGGGTATTTTGAAGGAGGCGGGGAAGACTTCAGACACGCGGTGGGTTAGTGGCACGTTTAGAGACAAAATATCAAAGAGGGCAAACAAAAGAATATCAGAGATCCTTTTTTACCGTGCTAAAGATGAAGGCCGTGTAAACGCGTAGACGTTGCGAAATTTATCCCCGGCTTACACAAATTTTCGGGGTCATAGGTGAATTTTTTTTAGGTGCTTCAGAGAATTTTACTCATGATCTAATCAAGCATTTATGAACGTTTCAATGAAAGAATTTCAGAACTGTTTTAAATACAATAATATTGATAGCCTTAAATGACAGCATTCAAATGTTCACCACGTTTTTCTTGGCAAAGGGCCTTTTGCGTGACTCCGTTACACGTTACATCCTTAACAAATTCTACATCATTAGTGCATTTTAAAAATAAGTAAAGGTGCAAAGGAGAGGAAAGCTTTAAATTATTTATTCATTAGTTTAATTTCTTTATACAATGATATACCGGGCTACAAGGGCAAGAGCCCCAGAACATACCCGAATGACACAGTATCTACTGCACTGGAAAAAAAGAAGAAGAAGAAAAAAAAAACACATTGAATCTAGAGTCCAGACTCTCGGAAACATCGACAAGAAAAAATACTCTTGATTCAATCAGATTTAAACTTAAATCAAGAACCCAGCCTCTTAATTTGAGCGGATTTCCTTTTGATTTAAGCTTAAATCTGATTGAATCAAAAGTATTTTTTCGTGTAAATGTTTTCAAGAGTCTGGACTCTAGATCCAATGATTTTTTTTTTTTTTCCAGTAAATTTTAGAAAAAAAAATGTAATTATTATTTTCGGTGTATGAACAGAAGCAGCTTGCAAACGTCATTATTCATCGCAGATTATTTGCGCCCCGCTGATGTAAATATTTCCTCCGCGTTTGTGGGCATTCGTTCGTCAGCACGATCGCCCCGCAAACAATCGAAAACCAATTACGTGAGGTCGTGAAATCAGCCGGACAAAAATGTGTTGAAACTTGGGATTAAATTTTCGTAGCGGGATTAAAAGAGCCCGCCGACCTTCAAGTGGTGCCGAAAATCGTAAATTTGTCCATCTACTTCTGTGAAATTCAGCGGATTTTCTCTGAGACTCGGCAACATTGAAAGCTGCTATGATTTGGATATTAGCGTGTCCGATGGATTAGACAGCCCGTCTGTTTTGTCCGTTAAATAGGATGAGTTTCCGCCCATCGGTGGACCCGGTGAAAATTCGAGGCACGGATGCTTCACGGAAATGTCAGATCTTGAATTTAAAGGTACTTCACTGAAAAAAAAGGATGGTAACATCTACTAAGTCTACACTGGAAAAAAAAACACATTGGATCTAGAGTTCAGACTCTTAAAAACATCGACAAGAAAAAATACTCTTGAATATTCTTGATTAAATCAAGAACCAAGCCTCTTAATTTGAGCGGATTGCCTTTTGATTTAAGCTAAAATCTGATTGAATCAAGAGTATTTTTCTTGTCAATGTTCTCAAGAGTCTGGACTCTAGAATTCTAGATCCAATGTGTTTTTTTTTTTTCCCCAGTGTACTTGATTTTTTACACAGTGATACCATTTAGTGAGAATAACCAAAATTATGGTAGTATTAACCAGAACTCTGTTGATACTTACCATAGTACAGTAAATATTATCATTGTACCCCCCTGTGCCCCTGCGACTCGCTCCGCAAGCCGCCCCTCATAGCTTTTAAGGTGATTCGATGGACGCCATATTTTGTGTCTGAACAGCATGCGATATATTGCATCAATTGGTTCCATTTTTTCAGCTACTCGTCATTTTTCTCCAATTTTGAGATCGTAATTCTGTTGTCAGGAGACTAAATCACTCACTTTCCAATTTTAACAAAGAAATTCAACGTAATAAAGGCGTGGTTTATTTAGAGAGAAAATATCGTATTCGAGTGCAGTTTCGATATCAGTATCGAATGCAATGTTTTCTTTCTAAGAAAAAAACCACGCCTTTATTACGTTGAATTTCTTTGTTAAAATTGGTAAGTGAGTGCTTTAGTCTCCTGACAACAGAATTGCGATCTCTAAATTGGAGAAAAATGACGAGTAGCTGAAAAAATGGAGGCAATTAATGCGATATATCGCATGCCGTTCTGACACAAAATATGGCGTCCATCGAATCACCTTAACTTTTAAAATAATAATAACAATGATGATGAGAAGATAACATCTTCAGCATTTTGGCCACAGCCGCCATGTTGGATTTTAAAATTTTGAAAATTCGACCAAAAATTCGAGTTTCCCGTCGAAAATTACCGTCGGTTACCGAGCTTCACGAAACTCGATCGAACAGAAGCCGACTTGGCATTTTAGGCCATGGCCGCCATCTTGGATTTTGAAATTTTGAAAATCCGACCAAAAATTCGAGTTTCCCATCGAAAAATACCCCCCCCCCAACGAGTTTCACGAATATCGTTCGAACGTTCGTGAGATTACACAGCGATCTGCGCGGTACAATGGCGTGGTTTTGTTCGCGCGTGTTTCTGATTGGTATAATTTGACCATGAGAGTAGGGGAATGGTTGAGCGTTGGAAGAAGATGGTTTTGAAGGAGTCAGCGCGGGGAGAAAAGCGTTACTGTAGCAACGGCCAATGAGGAGCTTTGCGCGTGATCGGTCCGATCAAACCGATGGCGGGAGTAGGGGTACGGTTGAGCGGTGGGATAAGGTGGAGTGGAAGAGGTCAGTGCGGGAGAGAGGAGCGTTGCTGTAGCAACGGCCAATGAGCAGCTTTGCGCGATGCGCGTGATTGGTTTGATTGAATCCGATCGCGGGAGTAGGGGTACGATTGAGCGGTAGGATAAGGTGTTAGGGAAGAGGTCGGTGCGGTGGAAAGAAGCGTTGCTGTAGCAACGGCCAATGAGCAGCTTTGCGCGTGATTGGTTCGATTCAATCCGATCGCGGAAGTAGGGGTACGGTTGCGCGACGGGATAAGATGGTGGGGAAGAGGCTCGTGCGGGGGAAAGAGGCGTGGCCCTGGCAACGTCCAATGAGGGCAGCTTGCAAATTTGCGCGCGAATACACAGCGATCTGCGCGGTGCAATGGCGTAGTTTGGTTCATGTGAGTTTCTAATCGATATAATTTGATGATCGGACAGAAGTAGGGGAACGGTTGAGTGCGAGAAGATAGCCGGGAAGCGGCTAGTNTTGGGGGGGGGGGGAGGTATGGTTCTATGCGTATGCGCAATGACTGACCTGGGTGGATAGGTATTGGTTCTAGCAACGTCCAATGAGAGCAGCCTGTAAAGCGAGCGAGCTGCGCTATGCGATGGCGTGGTTTTTGTTCGTGTGTGTTCCTGATTAGACTTGACGAGGCTCTCAGGATAAAGAAAATGGCGGACGTCACAAGCAAATCATTCGCCAATGTAGATGATAAGGTTTAATTTGCCGATATGACCGTATGATTTACTCACTTCCCGAAGGTAGAGAACATCCAGTTTTCTGCATTACGTGTAAAAACATCTTTTTCACTAGTCTCTTCTATGATGAGGATGGTAACAGGTGGAGCAGGTAATAAACGTCAAAAGTTGGCAACGACCCCTTCTCCCTTCCCACTCCCTCCGCAGCCACTTCCTCCCACCTAGAGTCGTCGCCATTTTTTTTTGACTCGAGTAAATCGTGGAATATTAAAAAGCTGAAAGGAAACACTTCATTTTTATAATAATGATTTAGTAAATGAACGAGTACATGGGACATTCCCTATTGTTATTTCATATTCTAATTTCTCACCGGAAAACGATTCGAAATCCTGACGCGGAATTCGTTATCATTTTCTCCATATTGAAACTGATCGTGCGAAAGAGATCCGGGTCCAAAGATTCCCCTCTCGCGCGCAGCGCCGCACCGCGCTGGCCCACCGACCGCTCGTGGCGATAGCCTCCCGCCCCGTCCAACGCCGCGATACTCGCTAAAGAGCTAGACAGTGTCCCCGCGCCGGCCCCCATAGGCGGATCCAGCAATTTGGCAACACCGGATTTCCTCCATTTGAACCTATGTTAAATAATCGATTCTTGTCGGAGCACCTGGCCCCTCTTAGAATCGATACATTCCCATAGGTTTAAATGGAGAAAAACAACGTTGCCAATTTGCTGGATCCGCCAATGCCGGCCCCTCGCCACCACCACCCCGACCATGGGTACTTCGTATCGCACCGCGCTCATCGGCTGCTGGAGCGCTACTGCCGTGCTAAGGAATAACGCCGTATGAACATTCGAGAGTTGCCAAATTTC